GCTGGCCAAACTTAAACCTAGGGACAAATCTGGCAGCTCAAATTGAGGTGGACTCAAGAAACCCCATTGCATGTAACATCAGAGGGAAACTCTTGTTGAAACGAGAGGAGACTGCGGTTAGTGAAAGCACTATGAGGTGACATAATGGAAATGGGCTGGGAAATATGAGGCACCCAGAAAGGCAGGGACTGGTAATGAGTTCTTCTTAAAGCAGGGAAAAGTGATGCTAGAAAGGCTGCATATCAGAGCATAAACAACTAAATTATGCACATATGACTGGAAATGGAAAGCACTGCTTATGAGCAGACACCTAGCTCTTGTGTGGTTTAGCAGAACAAAAGTCAGTGGAGATGACAGTGCTATCCAAGCATCAGGAGCTACTGAAGAGCCTTCATTAGGATAAACAACAACGTGCTGCAAGGACAGACTGGATATAAGGAGGAAATTCTTTCCTGTTAGGGTGGTGAGGCACTGGAATGGGTTGCCCAGGGAGGTTGTGAATGCTCCATCCCTGGTGGTGTTCAAGGCCAGGTTGGACAAGGGCTTGGGTGACATGGTTCAGTGTGAGGTGTCCCTGCCCATGGCAGGGGGTTGGAACTTGATGATCTTAAGGTCCTTTCCAACCCTAACTATTCTATGATTCTATGATTCTATGAAAAGTATTTCTATATTGACCATAAATCACAGGCAGTAACTGAGAAGGGAAGTTTTAAGTCTCAAACAACTGAGGTCCTGAAAAAAAAATCCTCCAGTGTCCACACTCCTGGTATAAAAGAGGAATTTGTGGACCTATAGCACAACCCCTATGGAGGGCTAAAACCCATAGTGTATATTCCACCACCCACTAGAGAGTACTGCCAGCCTCCTTAGCCATATTGCACACATTCACAGACCTGTGTCCAGAGTTTTCCCTAGAGGGAAGGAAGCGAGAGCATAAGAGCAGAAAAGGAGGAAGATGACGTGTCTGGAGGAAATGACATGAGAAGCCTGTCCTTCTCCACTGCCTCCTCCCTCCCTACTGCTGCCCAGAAGCAAGGAAACTGAATCCCATGCCTGAAGTGCCCAGCTGCCTTCTCAGCCTGTCCTGGTCACTCCCCAAACCCTCCCATTCGCCTTCCTGCCTTATTGTCTCCATCCATCAACTTGCTAATCTCTTCCAGGAAGACTGATAAACCACCCTCCCCACCTCTGCCCTTGGGTCTCTGCTCTCTCCTCTCCCATCACACACCCATCCTTTACTATAAGGCCCTTGTATCTCCATCACGTGCTCACAAGCACACATCAACCCTTCTGAGCCCTGCTATCTCACTTCTCCAATGCGTTTTTCTGATGGTGCCACATCCTTGAGTTGGTCACAGCTTTAGAAGGGGATTCCCCAAAGATCAAAAGGTCCGTTCAGTTCAAAGCCAGGCTTTTCTTTCTTTCTATTTTTAGAAAATTACCTCATGTTTTCAAATAAAGGCCAGAAATAAAAGAATTGATAGCAGCTTTCTGCCATCCACCCAATCTCAGCAGGGGGCTTTTCATTATTTCTTGGGTTTTTTTCTGAGAACCCCGACTTTCCAAGTTGCAGTAACCTCTTGAACTTCCCTTTTTGGGTTCCTACAAAAGGTCTCCCTGTTAGCTGGGAGGTCTGGCATTACGGCTGCTCCTCCAGCATCCTCCCAGTGTCTAACGCTAGCAGCCTAGAAACTTCTATTGAACTGCTGAGCATTACTCTTTAAGGTTAGGAACAAACTGCTACCTTCAAAAGGCTTCCTCCTTGAAGCTGGTCCTCATTTTGAATGTTGGATGCTGTTCTGGTCCTCAGAGCTCAGAAATCACACATATAAGTGGAAAAGGCTCAAAGGAGAGCAAAGATTATCAAAGGTCTGGGGTAACTGAATAAACTTGGACACTGCAGCCTCAAAGAGCAATGCCTAAGGTGGAATATGATAGAGTTCTACAGTATCTCTGCTGCCCAAGAAAGAAAAGAAGAATGGAGGGCAACAAATTGAATTAGTTGCAACCAGGTTCAAAACAAAAGAAGAAAGGTCTTCATGCAAAATCTTATGAACCCACCCTGAAAAGTCACTCAAGGTAGGATAGGAGAAGGATAACTTCGGACTTAAAGAGAAACCATGGAGTCAGGAACATTCCCCAAGTTGAAATTACCAGCACCACAAAGTGCATCAGCAGGAAGCATCCTTAGTTTACCTTGTTCTTACTCTTCTCTGGACAGCTTCATGTAATGACTCCTGGAGGCAAGATTTGCACAAGACAGTCTGAAACCGCTTTGCTGTTTCCACCAACCCTGCAGAAACCCCTGGGCAAGGACAGACCATCAGCAGAATTCACCCACCTGCCTCCAGCACCCAGCTCATCTCTCACCTCTATCCCAGATGCAGATGACTCCTGGGTGGCACAGCAGGCCATGTACACCATTCCTTGCTTGCCATCTTTAACACCGTGTTCTTAGAACAACCTTTTCCACTTCAGGATATCCGTTCCCACCACAGGTACACCAACATATATATATGCATATATTTATAAACTGAGTATTCTAGTTTTTTACTTAATATATTTATTATTATACATGTATATGTACATTTGATACACCCGGTGTACATCCTATACCCAGCTGTTCCTTTGAGGAGTGTTCAGATAGAGTGAAGATAGTCATACGCACAACACAGTGTTGTCACAGGTACAAGAAACAGGCTGAGCATTTGTAGCTTGAGATGGAAAGATTTTTCAGGCAGAAAAAGTCTGAAAGCATCACAATGAGTGTAAAACCCCCCAAAATGAGGTGAGATGGGCAGACGCTGGTAGACAAACATGTTACTAAGCAACGCTTATGGAAATGGATCCCATGATTAAGAAGTTCACAAACTTCATTTGCAGGAGAAGCACTAGACTGGGGGATAAGCAGCATACTCAGGAGCCTTGGGTTCCTGGCTCTGCTAATAACAGCCAGACCTCCTGCCCTGCCCAGGCCTCTTCCCCATGGTGCTTGCGCTGTGAACAGCTTTTCACTGGTTTCTCTCCACTCCAGTGCTCACTGAAGTTACAACAAGCACGCATACCGATGAATTAGAAACCTGTGTATCATCTAGCTTGGTACCAAAGTGGGGCTTTAGAGCTGTGCTTTAAGCAACACACCACATGGGATATGCCACCAAACTCAGTAACTTCCCTGTGAGGAGCCCAGAAACAGAAATGCAGCTACGAGCTGGACTGGGAGTTAGCTGAGTTACTTGCATTAGAATAACTTAGGCTGGAAAGGTCTTCAGGATCATGGAGTCCAACCACTACCAAAGCCACCCCTAAACCATGTCCCTAAGTGCCACATCTACATGTCTTTAAATACTTTCAGGGATGGTGACTCCACCACTGCCCTGGGCAGCCTGTTCCCATGCCTGAGCACCCTCTCTGTGAAGAAATTGCTCCTAATATCCAACCTAACCACCTTCCAGCACAGCTTGAGGCTGTTTTCTTTTGTCCCATCACTTGTAGCCTGGGATAGGAGACCAACCCCACCTCACTACAACCTTCTCTGGCCCTGCTCCAGCACCTCAATGTCTCTCTTGTAGTGAGGGGCCCAGAACTGAACACAGGATTCGAGGTGCAGCCTCACCACTGCAGGGGGATGATCACTGCCCTGGCCCTGCTGCCACACTACTGCTGGTACAGGCCAGGATGCTGTTGGCTTCTTGGCTGCCTGGGCACAAGCTGCTCATGTTCAGCTCTACCAATCAGGACCCCCAGGTCTTTTCCCATGAGGAGTTTCCAGCCATGCTTCCCCAAACCTGGAGCATTGCATGGGGTTGTTGTGATCCAAGTGTAGGACCCGGCACTTTGCCTCATTGAACCTCATCCCATTGGCCCTAGCCCATGGGTTCAGCCTGTGCAGACCCCTCTGCAGAGCCTTCCTATCCTTCAGCAGATCAACACTCCCTCCCAGCTTGGTGTCATCTGCTAACCTCCACTCAACTGGGACCTCCCCAGTTAGCCAGGGCTGCTGGTACATGAGGGAGCACTTCCACCAGCTCCCTCAATACCCTGCAGTGGATCCCATCCAGCCCCATAGCTGGTATGTATCTATGTGGTGTAGCAGGTCACTGAACATTTCCCCTTGGATTCTGGGGCTTCATTCTGCTCCCCATCCCTGTCTTTCAGCTCAGGGGGCTGGGTACTCTGGTCTTAGTTGTTAGAAGCAAAGCCTTGTCGGGTACCTCAAGCTTTTCCTCATCCTCTGTCACTATTTACCCCCACATCCGATAAGGATGGAGATTTCCTTCTTGAAGTGTTCAGCCTCCCTGGACTCCTTTGCCCATCAGCACTGCCTCCCGAGGAACTGTGTTGCTAAGCATGTTACCTAAGGAAAAAAAGCTGTCTCAGATCATAGAAGTTCAGAGACCTCCACTATCATGGAATAAGAGTCTCTGAGATATTTGAGACTGTCTGCTGGAAACTGGCAGCAGCCCCAAAAAATGAGATGGGGGAGTAGTTTACTTGACATCAAGAAGGTTTATTCTCTCATCTCTTGTCAATACCATTTACAGAGTATTAATGCTTGTATCAGATGGAAAGCCACAAATCAAGTTTGACACATAATTGTTTTTCTTCACATGCTATCTGTAAAGTATTCTGCTTTACAGATGATATAATACTGCCTGCCTGAGTCTTTCCACTCAACGCCTTCAGGAGGCTCCTTGAGTGCAGAGGGAACTCGACTTAAAGGCCAGACAGAGAAGAAAAGAAAGAAAGTTATTCTTCATGATTTTCTGCGATGTCTCAGCATGTTATCAAAAGCCAAGAACTTCAGGGAAAGCTGTCAAAGATGGAGTGACCATGGAGGAGGGGGAATTTTCTGGCTCAAACCCTTTGCTGGGCATCTACAGCACCGCAGAAATACCTACGTACTAAACAAGAGTAATTTGCAAAGATGTAGTAGCAATACCACCCTATGTGATTTAGCAAACTCAGTTTATGGTTACATTTCAACAGATGACTCCAAATGCTGCTAAAAGACTTTATTAAAGACTACTAACAGTTCTCATAACAATGGCACGTACAATGGTTCAAAATCATGACAAATAGCATGGAGTTTTGAAGAGCACTATTATAACACACCATGGACAACAACAAAGCAAATGTGCCATCTCAGAGCTCTATGAGCAGGCCCATGAAATAGGAGTTACACAGCTGTACAAGTGTCAGAGAAAATAGAAAAAAAAGAAAAAAAAAAGGTCATTCAATACACAGTCCTTATATTTATTGACAGTGTTACAGTACTTCATGGGCAAGGACTGGCTTGTTCCAGCTGCCCCTTCCAGAGCACAAGGGCAGCTGGAAATAGCAAAAATATATCCCCAAAGTATCCCCAAAACAATAGGAACCCTCTAACAAACATACCTCAGGTGTAATCGCTTCTCCAGACCTTCCTGCTTCTGAATTTTCAGTCAGAAATGCTGACCTCCCTGCTATCCCTCTGCTCAGGACAGTGTTTTGTTTTGCAAGAAAACAAAACAAGGATGTTTCTTTAAGACAGTGCAAAAATATTTTCAATGGTATAGTTAAAACACAGATTAATGACAAACAGCACAGATCAACTGCAGCACGGCCAACAGAGACTTCAAGATAAACCAAATGGACCTGCTGCTCTTTGACCAGCACTCCAGACTGAGTGCTTGCAGAGGGGAGATGTGCTGATCTCTCCCAAGCAAACCATCATTTCTGGGTTCATAGTGAGGAATGGTCTCAGCTACTACAGGATAACAAAATGCTACAGAAAGCCTGCAAGTATTAAATTATCCAATCCTATGTCAAATAACTAATGAAAGAGTATCTAAGCAGAAAAAGTATATAGCAGCCATGCTATTTGTCATGGCTCTAAGGTTGTTCCCTTCCTTACCGTGTCGGTCATGGTAGCCAAAGTGTGACCTGCGGAGTTAGCAGCTTACAGCAACCCCATGGTGATGCAGATTTCCCAGCAGCACATGGGGATTTATATTCTCCGAGACACACCATCTAATTACAATAGCAGGGCAGCTGCAGTCTGCTCCTGCTGTATTGTCTTTGTAGCTTTTGGCTATGAGATCTTAGGCCCCTCTGCACTTGTCCAACTGATCTCACCCATGCTCACAGCAGCACATCCATGGTCATATTCATCTGGTGTGCATCTTCAGAGCAATTTGCAACTTATTTTGTAAGCAGACGTTGAGGTGTCTGTGTATCATATCGGGACATTGGTATAATCTGTGCCAGAACATCCACTGGCAGCTCCACAGTACACGAATTCAATGAGAGAGAACTGTGATGTGCCAAAGCCCCAAATCGTTCTTCTTCTCCCAATTTCCACCCACTTGTGTGTTTGTATCGTAGTGTGATTATGTAGAACCTTTTCAACATCTGCCAACTTCAGAGGATAAAATCACAGTGCTGCATATCAACAAAACCCAGCATACCCAGCCTCCAATATAAAATAATTTATATATACAAAGCAGAATTCGCATCTTAAGTAACAAGAGACTGCCTCATTCTCTATTGTGTCTTAACCCAGCTACTAAAAAATAAATAATCACATCAGACTGATGGGTTTGTTTCCTGTACAGCACACGTGCGCTATCAGAGCTGACAAAGACAACAAGAAAGAAACTTTTGTGATTAATAAAAGAGAATTGTTGAACACTTGCACATATTGGCACAAGGCAGAAGAGAAAAGGGAATACTACACAGCTCAGCTCAGGTGCCTTCCTCCGTGGAGCGGGACTCAGATTTCAACTTTACAAATTCTCTGGCAACTTCATCATTGGTTCTTTGAGAGAGAATCCTCAGGATTGTAAGTCCAGTCTCATCCATGTGAATCCTGCGCCCCAGGGGGCACCAGCAAGCACAGCTTCCTTTGTCTGCTATGTCTCTCAGCTGCATCACTGCTATCCCTAGTACCCGGTCCTCCCGAGCAAAGCAGTAGTCTTTCACACAGACTTGGAGCTCATAAGCATCAGGACCGTCCTCATTTCCCAGTATGCTGAAAAACACACACAAGTTTACTTACAGTTTCTCATAATGTATAAATTACTCTGCAAAATGAAGGTGTCAGCAGCTGGCTAGACTGCTTTGATGAGCCACAGAACACTCCTTTCTACAGAAAACCCTGGTCAGAGACGGAGAAGTAAAAAACAGAATGCATATGGGCTATGAGATAGGCTGAGAAAGTTGGGGCTGTTCAGCCTGGAGAAGAGAAGGCTGCGTGGAGACCTCAGAGCAGCCTTCCAGTATCTGAAGGGGGCCTATAGGGATGCTGGGGAGGGACTCTTCATTAGGGACTGTAGTGATAGGACAAGGGGTAATGGGTAAAACTTAAACAGGGGAAGTTTAGATTGGGTATAAGGAGGAAATTCTTTCCTGTTAGGGTAGTGAGGCACTGGAACGGGTTGCCCAAGGAGGTTGTGAATGCTCCATCCCTGGCAGTGTTCAAGGCCAGGTTGGACGAGGCCTTGGGTGATATGGTTTAGAGCGAGGTGTCCCTGCCCGTGGCAGGGGGTTGGAACTTGATGATCTTAAGGTCCTTTCCAACCCTAACTATTCTGTGATTCTATGATGTTTGTTGGTTTCCAGCTGATACAGACAACCTGTCTAGTTAAAAAGAAGAAATGAACAACCCCTATCAAGTTGCCTTTGTATGTGTGTGTGTTAAACTGTGAAGTAAGAGGAGCAGAGAACATTAAAGCCATGCTAATAGATTTTCAACTCGGATGACTTTAAACATTTTTGCTTCTGTTAAGGGTTGCTTCAATTCAATAATTAATATTTTAATTAGATGAAGTCTTTTTTAAAAATTCAGAACCTTCCATTAAAGCAAAAGCTAATAAAAATACATCCCCAAGCCCCTCTGAGGTTTCTAAAATTAAAAGAATAATTTTTAAAGGGCAACAAAAATCCCTTCTCTTAGAGGAAGCCTGTCAAATAAAAGTTATATGTATGGTCCCTCTCCCCTCTCCCCCAAGATGTTTACAGTCTTTTGCTGTTCATATGTTTTCCTCTCATTCTTAATGTACAGCTGGGTGAGCATTACTCTGTAGCTCCCTTTGTTGAGCCTTCCAAGAATGAAGACGCCTTTGTAATAATGAAAGTCAAATAAGCAGAGTTCAATACTCAATGTTGAGAGGTACTGCAATTTAGCAATGCAGCTTACTACCAGGTCCAAGGGCTGAAGCACTTGTTCCCTGCAAACAAGTTCAGAAAGCCTGTAACACAGGTCAAGTTGGGATAAAACCACACATTAATATTAAAAGAACTGAAAAGATAAAATGAACTTTTAGCCTCAACTCTTACCAATAAAAGTTCATTAAAATGATGGAACGCAGTAAAGTAGGTTCATAGATCATGCAGTGCGCTTCAGAAGGCAGACAGAGGATGCTGCTGATACAAAACAGACCTCAGCATCCTACCCACATTTCCTGCCAAGACATTGAAGACTGGCCAAGCTACTGGTTCATGTACTCTTCTGGGCCCCAGGCAGGCTGCCTGTAGACTCTGGAAAACCTTCTCTGCCCTCTGCACCTGCGCTTGCTGTGTCAGATCCCCAAGCTATTTTTCACACTTACAAGTGAAAGGTTTCATTGTATTTGGGAGCCCAGTTGTTGCTCTTTGACTTGGTTGTGAACTTCCTCTTCTTGTCACTCTGCTGGGGCCCAATCATAGTGATTTCCACAAATGGACGGAACATGCCAGACGTCTGCCACTTCAGGTCATTGGCTGCCACAACTGGAAAAGAGAGTCACAACCTGGTTTACAGTAAACTACTCATTTTTTCTCATTGCTCTGGACACCCTTCCAGTCTGCTTCTAATTTCTTGTTTCAGAGGACAAAGTCCAACTCCAGGCACACTGCTGCCCCCGACACCTTTTCTGTAATATAAAGATATGCTTTTTTGCTCTAATTTAAGTTTTGTGATGGGCATTAAATGCTTGGGACAGCACTTAGCTTGTGCCATACGCATAGTCAAGAAACTAGTCCAAAAAACCAGGTATTCCCACAGCTCTGGGCAGGCTGCCCTGCCAGTTCAGTGCTTAGGTCTACATTACATATGGAATGAGATAAAAAGGGGGATGGTGGGCATTTTGGCAGATGATAGTAAAGTCTGTGTTGAAAAGGAAAATGTGACTGAAGGTAAGAAAAAGCCCATGAGCTGTGAGTGGTCCCAGAGCCCAGAATTATTAGCTCTTTACTTCTCGTTCACTCGGGTCACTGCAGGGAACAGACTGAAGCATGGGAAATGGCTCTGAAAACCAGGTTTTACACTGCAGTGTAGATTTAACCAGAATAGAGGCCTGAAGAGCTATTTATATAAATCTTTAGAGGAAACTAAAGTAGTTAAATATGCTGTATCCAAGCAAGGGAGATGAAGGAGGAAGAGGAAGCCTGGGATGAATCACTGCTTGGGTTATTTTCAGAGCAGCTCTTCAGGGACCAACATGGCCTTCAGGACAGGGAAGAGGAGCTTACTGGCTCTGTGATCTCCTGGTTTACACTAAGCAGTTTCGCAACATCACCCTGTCCTTCTGCCCTGTTCTCTGCATCACAGGCTAAACTGTGGCGCCTGGTAACAGGCATCAACTGATTTTTGTTTACTTCATACATCCCTGCCAATAAACAACAGGACAGTACATTGGTCTGTCACTGGCTGGACAAGTTCCTTTGCTGTTTCTCTCCATGTTCCTGATATAAAACAGAGAAAACAATCCTGGATTCACATCCCATGAGCTAACACAGAAACACAACGACTGCCAACTGGAGATTTTCCCCAGTACAGTCACAGAGCCTGAGCAGCAACACATGCCTTGACATACCTTTCACTGTGACCTTGTGTTCACCAGTTCCAGGGTGGGTATACAGGTCAATCTGTATAGACACTTCCCCCACAGGATCATCCACACCAGAGCCTGTTAGAAGAAAATTGATACCTCCTGTGCACACATGGATTAATGTTTATGGGCACCCGTCTCTGGTTTATGGCCTCAGCAAGGCAATATAGTGTTTTCACAGCACACCCTCCATAGTCAGCTTTTCAGTGTACACTGATAAGGTAACAGTAATGCAAGATAACATCAGGCTTGCATGCCCAACACACGTAAACACTAGCATTTTTTGCACTCTCCCATGAAGATCACATCCTGTTGAGAATACTAGTAAGAATTTTAATAGAATTTAAAAGACCTAAAGCTCAACAAAGGACCCTCACAGACAGCAAGGATTTTTCAGAGGTTCCCACCAAGCTATTGCGTGTACATGCAGGCATTCCAGTGGTGGGCATTGGCATTCCTGTCCACTCAGAGGAGAAGGGAGGATGAAAACAAAACAAAAAAGTACACCAGAGACGAAGTTTAGGAAAAAAAAGACAAAGATGTTAGAGATTTATATGGAGCCATTGTGCAGTTTCACCTTCCAGGAACCTTTTTCCATGTTGTACATCAGCTACAGGTTGTTGCCCTGACTGCCTGTTGACTTCCCCTTGGAGGGTGATAAGAACCCCTTCACTGTTGCACACCAAAAAATATGAGAGAGAAGCACTCACAACTTGCATATTTATTTCCCTTCATCAATAAGCCAGGGAGAAAACAAGATGTAACTTCACAGAGGAAATGACAGCATGTTGTAACAGAGGGAGAAGATTTCATGAACTTTACAATTTGTGTATCACAATGTTTTCAGCCTTTTAACTTTTCATCATAATTATCAAGCAAAATGTGGAAATGACATTTTTTTCTGTGCAGGAAAGTCAATATGTCACGTAAATTACAGAAGATGGCTTCGCAAAATGAAAATTAAGCTTTGATAATAAGATAGTGTGATTGATTTTGCTTTCTCTTCAATAACTGTCTGACCTCAGGTTAGCAATGATGCTGTAATTGGGATACCTACAGGGTAACTGAGTACCTACTAACAGCAATGTTATTTTGTCAATTTTAAGGCTGAGACATATTATTAAGTGAAACAATTAGTGCATTTGAAACTGAAGGAGCTTGAAGGATAAAATTAAATAAACATTTTGATTAGATAGATCTAACAAGTCACCTTTCACAAGAACATCCTGCAGGCAGCAAAATCAGCCATTTAAAAAACAAAAGGTTGAGAGCTAATCTGTGTAATTCTCTGAAGAGAATTACATGGCATGGAACTGTAGGCAGTGAAAGTCATATTAATATACATAGATCTGAGCAACCAAAACAGAACCTCAAATTATTATCTTAGGGCAGATTCTCATTCTTGACCTGAGTACAACAGCCTCTAGACTAACATTTGCACTGTTTTCTCCCTGCTTAGAAGGGCAGTGCTCCTTCTTTTCTGTATATAAGCACAGAGCTTTGAAATTGGAAAACTTAATTAGTGACCTGACCCACCTGATAGTGAAGGTCTGTCACACTGTTGGCATTTTCCATGTGAACAGACAAGGTTATCAACAGTATATAACAACTTTATTAGGCTACATATGCAGAAATATCAGCTGTCAAACTCTCAAGTCTTAATTACACTAAAGATGCAATTAAGAGGTTATAAGTGAGACACTGATGCTTCAGAGCACTGACAGTGGAATCACTGCATTACCTTTGAGGGAGTAAAAATATAGATATTTTTTCTACCTTCACTCTTGTCTTTTCATACAAAAATCTTGTTCTATTAACTGAAATGCTCAAAGACAAAAAAACTCCTTGTAGATGACCACTGAAAAACACTCTGAGCTTGTACAACTGCATGCATACACATGCTTGCACATTCAGTGACAAACTGATTTAAATCTTGGCATGGAAGTCTCATTGGTATTGCAATACTGGAAGGTGAAATTGCAGAACTGAGCTTGTGCAATGAGTTATAGATGTTATTTCACCTAAGATAACAGAAAGACTTTGGACAGCAAAAAATAAATTGAGAGATGAAACACGAGAAGACTTAATTTTTTAGGGCTCTCCTGAGCACCCAGACTTTTAGTTACCCCCTCTTTCAAGCCAGATGGTTCAAGCTTGGCCACAACCTTGAGTGCATATCAGACATGACCATGTGTTGCAGTAGCCCGTCTCAGCAGACTATATGCATGCAAGTCCAAGATTTGAAACAGCATTACACAGCCCATGGTAAAGGGTAGGGGACCAAGTCCATAGCATCTCTCAGAAAACAGTCCATTTTCAAGACAGCTTTCATATCCCATTAATAAATCTCAAGCTTGGGGACAGGCTCTCAGGCAAGGTACAGACCTCTAGATAGCGCAATCTGTGACTCTGTGGGATGCAAGCATTTGGTGAAGGTTCACTTCTACAGGGAGCTATGGGGAATGGGTCTCTTTGGAAAAGGTTTCTGAGCATGGGCGGGATGACTTCAAAAGCAAGGCAGTTGGGTAATGTTGTTAGGGTAACAACATTAGTCTTGAACATACCCTTATCTGGAAGAACGTCCTCATTAGCGGTAAATCTAATACCTTTCCCATCATGCACTGAGACATGAATTCAAAAGGCAAGAAGTGAGCAGGACAGAGAGAGAAGAGTATGAATTACAATCCAATTACTGTTGTCACGTAAACAAATAAAAGACAAATATTCTTGCTCTTAATAGACAAAATATCCTTTTAGATCTTCAACACCAACAGAGGCTTTGGAGAGCAAGGTTGTCTGCAAGTAAGGGATTGTTTGGCTTAAATCAAGAATAGAATGTGTGCTGGCATAACAAGCCCTGACCCAACTTTGCAAAGCAAACATTTAACAGCATAGTGCTATAGAATCCTGCTCAGTAAGGGAGGCAGGACAATAGCTACCTCACAAACTGGAAGATGCAACAGTGAGCAGTGAAGTGAGAAAGACAAACAGTCCACATTTAATATTTCCACATGCAGCCCCTCATATGGTTGTGAAAAGCTTGACTTATTCAAATCTCATCTGCCAGAGAGCTCTGGTAAGCACGTGTCAGTGTAAATACTGTTCCTCAAACCCACATGCAGATCTCCAAATCAATCTGCCAACTGGAGTTACTATGGAAGTGTGTGCAGCCCCAGTCCCAGGAGCAAGTCATGCCTTTCTCAGACACATTCCATCACTGACCCTATAGAAATAAGGTGGCGTAGCTGAAGTCTTCTGTTCCCTAAACAGCGTCCAAAACTCCCAAGCTACTAATGTAGATGATGATCTGGACTGGCTCAGACCCATTATCTGTCTTCTGAAGTGGCTCAGATCAGCCACAAAAAAATGTCATCAGTCAGCTATGAGATACAGTGGATGACCCTGTAATGAGTGCATCTTGTGTCCTAAAGCTAGAGCTTCACCCTTTCTGAGCTTAAAACAAAACAAAACAAATAAACAAAACCAACCCTACAACCCTACACAGTTCTGTGGCAACCCTGTATATTCCTGTTGCTCTTAGCTCATGTTCAATTATCTTTATGTATCTAATAAATTCACCCTCAATCGAGTTTTACAGTCAAATAATACATTGCATAAAGCTGCTTTCTCATCCCAGCTTTGAATTTGCCACTTTTCAGCTTCAACGGAGCAACTTCTTCCTCTAATTTTAAACACTCCTGACTGTACAATGGAGTGTAGAACAGCAGTGCTGCACATGTCCTTGTATCTTGGCTCATCACAACAGCATAACAGGATCCACGTACAAACCTAGCTTTAATTCATGGTCTGGATATATAATGGGACACATTCATCGCAGAGCAGCAAAGACTGAAAACACACTGCTCACACAAGTTCCCTGTTAAAAAGTATAGCTCTAATGGCAACAGCCAAGTTCCTGGAGTCTCCCGTGGCTGTGGCAGTCTTTGACATGTCTGGCCACTGGATGTCATCGTTGCTCTGCTGGGACATAGCTAGAGGACCACTCTCTTAAATGCGGGTACTGACTCTTAAGTACAATGTTTTAATGCAGTATGTTTCAGCCTAAGCAAGAATATATTGTGCTGCTAAAGGCAGGGATGATTCAGTCCCTCAGAACTGAAATCAAATTTTTAACTTTAGAAACAAACCTTGTTTTGCTCAAGAACTCTCAGTGATTTCTTCACTGGTTGGGAAACTCCAGTATCAAAGAGTCATTTGCACATGAGGGAAAACTGTGTTGTCTTCGAAGTGCTTTCCCCTTGATGTAGGGATCAGTGTGACAGTATGCTGACATAGTTAGCACAGTTTGTGGGGTCAACAGGTCTCATAGGCTTGGAAGGACTGAAGGAAAAAAGTACCCCAAGCAAAAAGATGGTAAAAAGACACTCCCATGGAGCTGAATGATTCTGCTGCTGGGATGTAGCAGTCAAATGTCAAAACTTGTATTTAAACACCCTGAAAACCTGAAATAGCAGTTTCAGTTTTGATCTAAACTTTCATGGATTCTGTCCTCTCTTCCTGAAATCAGTGAGATTCGGTCAGCTACTAACGGTCCCTTACTGATGAGACCAAATCATTCTGTACAACTATCTCGAGATGTTTACATGAAAGCAATGAAACATAGAGACAATTAACTGTTTCCCCCTTGCAGGTCAATGAAATAGCACCATATAGCCGCACAGCCCCTCTACACGTATCCTCATAAAACACA